GTTGGAACCACCACACATTTATAACTTGCTTTATTTATTGCAATATGTTTTCATTTCGAATTACAATTAATTTTTGAATTTGTATTCATTTTCTAATTCAAATTAATTAATGAATTATTATTTTTATCTCAAATTTGGATATTTGTTTTGTTATGATTTATTTTGGATTTGTTGAAATTCATTTCTACTGTGATTCAGAAATTCAGATACATCCGAATCTCTGAATAACAAAAATTTTGTCCAAATTTCAATTTGTAATGAAACTAATTGCACATGTCCATTTATTGCTGTCTGGGTTGACCTTGCACTGATGGTCATCTAATCCTGATATATATTTACCTTATCAGTTAAACAACCATATAAGCTTTGATGACTTTTACAGAATCTCATATTCTCAATTATTATGCTCATATGCCTATATATGATATCTCACCTAAAGAAGTACCTAGCTTCCATCCTCCCCTCTTTTTTTTCTTTTTAATTATGTTTACATGGTAGAATTCTATATCTCTATTTGCTTATCTTGGATATTTATAGAAGGAAGCTGACATATTTGAAAAGCCCACGCACGCCTCGCCTAGCAATGCTATCTTTTGTAATGGTGACCCACCTAAATTTGTATCTGCTACTGACTCTTTCACTGCCAAATAATGTCACCCTGTTGTGATACACCAAAGAGTAGGCTTATGGATCGCAACTCTCTGCCTGAGGAGAACTAATTAGGCCTACAGCTGGTGTGTGTCACCTTTATACTAACAGCTGTGAAAGCTTGTTTCTTACTTGTTTCTTATAACTGCTTTCAACTTTGAATTTTAACTGTTACACACCTGTGTTCATATTTATACTGCATAGTAGCTGATACACACAGAATTCTTAGTTCAAGCTTACTGTATATCTGTGACTGGCAATCATACTGGATTTTTATGCCTAACCCTTTCTCATTTTATTGTTTTCATGGTTTCCATATGCTTATTTACTTGAACTAGAGTGCAAAGCCTATGATCATTAGCAAAATATCCAGTTAAGCTGTACCATCCTCCACTATATCGCATTTTTTCTTCATGGGGCTTCTTGGGCTCTAATACCCAGTTTTTGGGGGTTTTTTTTTTTACTTTTGCCCTAATCATCACATATTTCAGTGACCTGCCTACCCTCTGTGATCTTTCTAAGTTCATAGCTTTACATAATCCCTTTGACTGTGCAGACAACCCTTCATTGAAATGCCAAACCTTTTTTTTTAATCCCCTCACAATCTGATTGACCCTTCTTGGACATACTAAGTGGGTTGGGACTTTTTTGCCCTATACCCACAAAAATTGTGATTCTATTCTTACATTTTGTCTTGATACCTTTCCTAGCTTTATCTGCTCTCTTTATGGTCAGCTCTTCTTATATTCTTAATCCCCCCCCCCAAGCCCTTTTTTTCTTCCTCTCTTGTTCATCTCCCTCTACCCCCTCCTTATGTCCTTTCCCCCTTTTCTTTTTCTCATTCCCTCTACTTCCAACCTTTTCTTTTTCCCTATTTCCCTCTCATCGTCACACCCCCTGTTCATCACTAGCTGACTCTTACCTTTTCTTTCCAGGGAAGTATTATCAGGAGTACAGAACATTTTCTGACTCTAGTGTTTGTTGCCTCCTTTTTGAGGTAAATGCATGGCTTTCTGGTGATGTGTGACAGATCTCTCCCTATTGCCTTTCTACAATAAGTCACTCCCCTCTAGAAACTTGAGGCTTTTTTTTTTTACTTAACACAAAGGGGCTTAGCATTCCTGAGAAATGGTCCAAAGTTCTTGGGGACATTGTTAAACACTGAGCACAAATAGCCTTTTTACAAGAAACACACTTCAAAAGCCTTGATATTTCTAAGTTTATGAATGCCAAATACCCTATGATCTATCATGCCTCCTCCTCTACTTCCGAAACCAAAGGAGTAGCTAATTTGTTGACTGAAAACTTAGCATTTCAACTCACTGAACAAATGATAGACCTCTGCCTCTTTTTATGGGCACATTACATAAAAAGCGCCATCACGTCCACCAACATCTGTTGCCCAAATAAAAAGTATGTTTCATTCATCTGAAAAATGACAAATCTGTTAATACCCTTTCAGGTTGGGATATTTCGTTGGGCTTTTAGGGAAGACCTTTTATTGGACTCCTACAGAGGCTCGACCTAAATTCCACATCGGGGACTTTGACAAATCAAACTACAACTTGCCACGCTTCTCTTGCATGATACATGGAGGACTTTATATCCCAATGCTAAGGATTATACATTCTAAACCTCCCCTCCAGAAAAAAGAGTAGAGCAGAACATATTTTCGCCTCCTTGATCCAGGCCACAAAAAAGCTCTTAGAGAATTAGACAAAAAAAATAGTTGCAAACTTGTACTAATTTCCAAATTGAGGCTAATAAAAGTAGAATGGTATTAGTCAAAATGCTACAAGATCAAAGGCTTAACCACTTGAGCTCCAGAGGATTTACCCCCCTTAATGACCAGGTCTCTTTTTGCTACTCGGCGCTGCACTAATTCAACTGATAATTGCGCGGTCATGCAATGCTGCACCCCAAACGAAATTTACGTCCTTTTTTTCACACAAATAGAGCTTTCTTTTGGTGTAATTTGATCACCTGTGCGCTTTTTAGTTTTCACGCTATAAACAAAAAAAGGCCAAAAATTTTGAAGAAAAACAATATTTTTTACTTTCAGCTATAAAAAATATATAGTAAACTCAAAGTTGGTTATAAATTTAGGCCAAAATGTATTCTGCTCCATGTTTTTGGTAAAAAAAAATCCCAATAAGTGTATATTGATTGCTTTGTGTGAAAGTTATAGCGTCTACAAACTATGGTATAAATACTGCAATTTACGCCATTTTTCTGCTATACAGCGCTGTGCTAGTTTAATGGACAATTGCGCGGCCATGCAATACGGTACATAAATGAAATTTACATCCTTTTTTTTCCCACAAATTGAGCTTTCTTTCGGTGGTATTTGTTCGCCTGTGCGGTTTTTATTTTTTGCGCTATAAAAAAAAAGGAGGACAATTTTGAGGAAAAAAAAACAATATTTTGGACTTTTTGCTATAAAACATGTCCAGTAAAAAAAAATGCAAAAATCAAATTTAGTCTTAAATTTCTGCCAAAATGCATTCTGCGACATGTCTTTGCTAAAAAAAAAAAACAATACGTGTAAATTAATTGGTTTACGTGAAAGTTATAGCGTTTACAAATGGCGGGAAAGATACTGGGATTTTTAGTTTTTTTTTATACTAATAATGGCGGCGATCAGAGAATTATGGCGGCGATCAGGGACTTATGGCAGTGACCAGCGACTTATGGCGGGACTGTGGGACTGCGGCGGACATTCTGACATTGGGGGGTACTGACCTGGGGTCACTGACATCCCCAAAAACACTAATACAGTGATCAGTGCAAAAAAAAAAAAACTGACACTGTACTAATGGCAATGGGGAGGAAGGGGTTAACTTTATTTTGCAGGGAAGGGTTATAGGAGTGAGGGGAGTGTTTTACTAGGGGGCGGGGGTGTGTACTGGGTGGGACAAGGCTGATCGAGAAAGAGAAACTGTTCTTTCTCGATCAGCTCATCATCCTCAAGCTGACAGGGAAGTGACAGACAGCACAGCTACTGCAGCACACTGTCACTGTTTGCCACCGATCGCCGGGACATAGTCGCTAAGGAGCGGCTGTGACCCAGCGACTGACATCTGCGGCGGTGATCCGCGTGACAGATAGGGCGGCAGCGCGCCTCGCGCGCACACCCCCTATTTGTTTACAAAACACACGTTTTAAAACGTGGTTTTGCCTGCGAGTGCCGCCGTATATGTACAGTGGCTGGGCGGCATGTAGTTAAAATAAAAGTACATAAGATTCATGTAAATACTTAAATAGTGGAGTCTTGTGAGCTACTATGGTGTGAAAAAAGTAATCTTAATGTGTTAAATCAATATTGTGAATTTTTTCACCTAATGAAATAAAGTAAAATAAAATTAAAATTAAAATGGAAATAGTGGGTCGCCTACACTCTACACATACTCATACCAATGTGTCATAGCAAAATCAACAGTGTCGCGCTCCACTGACAATCAAAATAAGTGATAAAAATGAGATACAGTCCAAAACAAATTATGTGATTTTACAATCGTGTTTCTGCTACAAAAAATGTCCTTATTTAGTCCATGACTTTCACACTCTTTCTGGTGATGTGACAAAAGATGATTTGCATGCAATCCACCAATAATAAAATGTGCACCTTCACCCGCTTTGCTCTCACCTGGCATATATGACCAAACCATTAAGTGAGATCATATAAGGATTGAGTCCCTTTAATTGGACTTAGAGCTGGATGGAAATATCCCTCTTCACAGTTAGGGGTCCCCTCACTTCCTTAGGACTCTTAATCCATAAGTATATCTGCCATAAAGAGTAATAAAGAACATAGTGTGTTATCTTCTTTTTAAAACATTTATTAAATAAAGTAGTGCACTCACATGTAATTCCAGTTAAAATTGCTTTAAAACGTTGTAAAATCAATCCAAAGTGTGCTTTTGAAATCTGCAGTATACTTGCTGTGTGTTGCCTTTAACCGTCGTTACTAGAGATGAGCGAAGTATTCAAAAATTCGATTCGGCTGATTCGGCGAATTCGCGGAATAAATTCGATTCGAGGCGAATATATTCGCTGCGAATTTAACGTATAAAAAGGGTGTTTCTAGGCTTCAGAGAGCCTTTATATTAGTGCAGAACACTGTACCTTTAATTTAAATGCCCTTGGAGTCTGCTGGGGAAGAGAAATAATACTGTCAGTCAGTATGACATGCAGATGAGTGCCGTCGATCTTAGAATCACCGCACACTTCACTCATTTGGGCAGTCACGGGGCCAAAACCAGAGTGTGGAGCCACAGTGTGGCGATGGAGACAGCAGCAATGGGAGGCCATACAGGGACCCATGACACACTCAACCTGGCAGCAGCATGAGGAGGCGGTACAGGGGCCCATGACAGATTACGGGGCAGAGTGTGGCCTGGAGACAGCAGCAATGCAGCATGAGGAGTCGGCATACGGTACAGGGGCCCATGGCAGATTACGGGCCTGGCAGCATGAGGAGTCGGTAGCATGGCAGAGGGCCTGGCAGCAGCATAAGGCCCGTCTGCCAGCACCCTATGACAAAATGGAACCCACCAGCGGTGTGAGGAGACCTGAAAGTGGCACATGGCAGAGTGTGGCGATGGAGACAGCAGCAATGGGAGGCCGTACATGGACCCATGACACACTCTGGACCTGGCAGCAGCATGAGGAGGCGGTACAGGGGCCCATGACAGATTACGGGCCTGGCAGCAGCATGAGGAGTCGGCACGGGGGCCCATGGCAGATTACGGGCCTGGCAGCAGCAATGGGAGGCCATACAGCACCCTATGACAAAATGGAACCCACCAGCAGTGTGAGGAGACCTGAAAGTGGCACATGGCAGAGTGTGGCGATGGAGACAGCAGCAATGGGAGGCCGTACAGGGACCCATGACACACTCTGGACCTGGCAGCAGCATGAGGAGGCGGTACAGGGGCCCATGACAGATTACGGGCCTGGCAGCAGCATGAGGAGTCGGTACGGGGGCCCATGGCAGATTACGGGCCTGGCAGCAGCAATGGGAGGCCCGTAATCTGCCAGCACCCTATGACAAAATGGAACCCACCAGCAGTGTGAGGAGACCTGAAAGTGGCACATGGCAGAGTGTGGCGATGGAGACAGCAGCAATGGGAGGGCCGTACAGGGACCCTTGACACACTCTGGACCTGGCAGCAGCATGAGGAGGCGGTACAGGGGCCCATGACAGATTACGGGCCTGGCAGCAGCATGAGGAGTCGGTACGGGGGGGGCCCATGGCAGATTACGGGCCTGGCAGCAGCAATGGGAGGCCCGTAATCTGCCAGCACCCTATGACAAAAATGGAACCCACCAGCTGTGTGAAGAGACCTGAAAGTGGCACATGGCAGAGTGTGGCGATGGAGACAGCAGCAATGGGAGGCCGTACAGGGACCCATGACACACTCTGGACCTGGCAGCAGCATGAGGAGGCGGTACAGGAGGAGGAGGTACAGGGGCCCATGGCAGGCAGCAGCAATGGCCCGAATCTGCGCACCCTATGACAAAATGCTTAAATTGGCAAGGCCAGCAGTGGCCTATTCTTGGCAGCAAAAATAATAACATGTTTGGGGCATGATTCATGGCGGATTTAGTCAGTTGTGTCAGGAACTGGTGGTTTTGAAATCCAGACTAATCCACGCCTGATTCATTTTCACAAACATGAGTCTCTCCACACTTTGGGTGGACAGTCGTGTCCTCCGCGGAGTTACAATACCTCCTGCCGCACTAAACACGCGCTCCGATGCCACGCTACTGGCCGGGCATGACAGCCTTTCAAGGGCAAATTCAGCTAGTTGGGGCCAAAGGTCAAGTTTCGTTGCCCAGTAGTCAAGGGGATTGTCTACCTCGGTTGGCAGGGTGCTGTCCAAGTAGGCCCAAGCCTGTTGTTTGAGGTCCTGCTCCAGGTCCACCTGATGCTGCTGCTGCTGCTGCTGCTGGTTAGTAGTTTCCTCACTGCGCTGGTGAAGAAGAAAGCTACTCATCATCGACTGCAGACTGAGGCAGCCGCTGCTGGTGGAGCTGCCACTGCTCCTACCACCCCCCCCCTCCCCTGCTGCCATGGCAGCGGAACGCGAGCGCACAGGGCCCACAGTGTCTGAGGATGGACGTTGGCGCACAAAGGCAGAGACCAACTGACTACATAGGTGGTTTTTATAGTACGTTATTTTGGCCTCCCTCTCAGCAGGTGTGAAAAAGGCCACCATTTTTGAACGGTAGCGAGGGTCCAACAAGGTGGACAGCCAAAAGTCATCCCTCTGTCTGATGGTTATTATTCGGCTGTCGCTACGCAAGCAACCGAGCATGCTATGGGCCATTTGTGCCAAGGAATGCGAGGGACTCCCTGCCTCCATCTCCACAGCATACTGCCACGGTGCGTCTGGGTCCTCTGTCTCCTCCTCCTCCTCTACCAGATGCTCCTGCTCCTCCACTCCTGTCCGCTGAGTGGAAAAACCACCCATTTCACTCAATAATTCCTGAGCACCAATGTCCTCCTCTACCTCCTCCTCTTCTTCCTGTCCTGCCCCCACAGGGGTCATGTGGCGTTGAGATCTGTGCGCCACACGTCTACCGCACCCTGACCAGCCATTGTTAACAGCATTTGTTCCAGGACGTGCAACAGAGGAATGACGTCGTTCATCCCATAGTCCTGCCGACTCACGAATAGCGTGGCCTCCTCAAAGGGCCTGAGCAAGCGGCAGGTGTCACGCATGAGCTGCCAATGGCTGACATCAAAGTTACACAGGGGAGTACCTTTATCCGCTTGTAACATCAGGAAATCGGTGATGGCCTTTCGCTGTTCGTAAAGGCGGTCTAACATGTGTAGGGTTGAATTCCACCTTGTTGCAACGTCGCAGATCAGGCGATGCTGTGCAATTCCGTTCTGCCGCTGCAGCTCAAGGAGGGTGTGCTTTGCGGTGTAGGAATGGCTGAAATGCATGCAAAGTTTACGTGACATTTTAAGGATGTCTTGCAGTGGGATGGTGGATTTTAGGAACCGCTTGACAACCAGATTGAACACGTGAGCCATGCATGGCGCATGGCACAACCTTCCTTGACGCAGAGCAGACACCATGTTCTTTCCGTTGTCGGTCAACATGGTTCCGATTTTCAGTTTGCGCGGAGACAGCCATCTGTCGATTTCTCTGTTCATTACACTCAGAAGTTCCTCCCCTGTGTGACTACGTTCGCCAAGGCATACCAGGTGCAGCACAGCGTGACACCGTTGCGCCCTGCACATGTGATATATGCGGTCGGGTAATGGGACTTGGCACGGGGGTGGCGGCTGAGGACACGGCGGAAGAAGAGGTGGTAGAGGCGGACATCTTTGCTGGACCAAGGACGTGCAAACGTGGAGGCAAAAGCGGCGTGACCTGTCCAAGTTGCTGGTGCGGCTGTGACGGCACCACGTTCACCCAGTGGGCCGTAAATGACATGTACTGTCCCTGACCGTAGTTACAGCTCCACACGTCGGCGCTGCCGTGCACTTTGGCAGAGACCGACATGCTCAAAGACTGGCCCACCATCTCTTCTACATGTGAATGCAGGGCTGGCACTGCCTTTTTGGCGAAGAAATGACGGCTTGGCACTCTCCACCGCGGCGCGGCACAAGCCATCATTTCTCGGAAAGGTGCTGAGTCCACCACTTGGAAAGGGAGGGACTGCAGCACCAGCAACTTGGACAGGGAGGACGTTCAGCTTTTGCACCGTCGGGTGCGTGCTCGCAAACTGTTGTCTCTTGGAAACGGATTCCAAGAAAGACTGCTGACGGAATCCGTGAAGAGGAGTAGCAGGAGAAGGAGCATCTGAACGAGCGGAAGATGCCAACGAGCGACAACTCCCCTCAGCAGAGGTGTTGGAGCCTTGACTGGCTGATGGAGGGCGATTGACGTCGGGTGACGGAGCAAGTAACGGAGCGGGTGATGGAGCGGGGGCTGGGGCGGGCAGAACCGCCGTATCTTTATCACGGTTTTCCCAGGCCACCAAATGGCGACGCTGCATATGCTGCCGCAACGCTGTAGTCCCAACATGGGCCCCCTGGCCACGCTTGACTTTCTGGCCACATAGTCGACATACGGCTACGTTTACTTCCTCGGGCGGCTTGACAAAAAATTGCCACACCGCCGAGTAGGAAACTTTGCCCCCGATACTCCTCACTGGCTGACTGCTGCTTCCTCCGTGCACACCGGCACCACTACTGGCCGTGGTGGTAGGTGCAGTGGAGCTGGTGCTCTACTCCGTGGCCGTTTGGCTCCACTGACACTGCTGCGACCCTGCTGCTGTCTCCTGGGCAACCCACCGACTGTTTCGCTCGCTGCCAAGCTGCCACCCTCTTCTCCTGATGATGCGGAAGAAATTGCCTGATGACGACGAGGCTGCCAAGTGCGATCAACCTCCTCATCATCAAGTAGGGTCTCCGCCTCACTACTAGCCCCCTCGGCTGCGTCTGGGTCAGGAGACAGACCTGTCTCTAGACCGGCTACCGAGCCACTCTCCTCGCCACTACTTCTTCGCCTGGCTGCTGAAAAGGCGGATGTCTCCCCCCGTTCCTGACCGCCCTCTGTTAGCTCTTCCTCACTGTACAGTGGGGCTGAGCCCACAGCATGCGATACTTCGCTTGGTGAGGGAACACCAAAGGACAGGGGCAGGTAGAGGACACGTGATTTCAGTGGGCTTGGTCCCGGGCCATGCCAACTAACGGTTGTGTCTGACGTACCCACCGACCGTTGGCTGTAGGTGTCAGAGGTGACCTGGGAAGAGGAAGACGACCGAGCCAACCAATCGACGACGGCAGGGTTGTCGGTGGAGACACGACCGCTGGATGACACCGGGAGCACTGGCCTCTGGCTGCGAATAGTGCTGCCTCGACCCCTTCCTCTGCTGCCACGTCTGCTCGCTCCTAAAACATTGCCTCCTCTGCCACTCCTCTGCATGTTGTCTGACATACTCTTTAATTCAACGATTCTGTGTCCCTGAGTAACAATTCTGTGTCCCTGAGTAACAATTCTGTGTCTGTCCTGAGTAACAATTCTGTGGCCCTAAGTAACGGTTCTGTGGCCCTCAGTAACAATTCTGTGTCCCTCAGTAACAATTCTGTGTCTGTCCCTGAGTAACAATTATGTGGCCCTAAGTAACGGTTCTGTGGCCCTCAGTAACAATTCTGTGTCCCTGATTAACGTTTATGTGGCCCTAAGTAACGGTTCTGTGGCCCTCAGTAACAATTCTGTGTCCCTGAGTAACAATTCTGTGTCTGTCCGAGTAAACAATTCTGTGGCCCTAAGTAACAATTCTGTGGCCCTCAGTAACAATTCTGTGTCCCTGAGTAACAATTCTGTGGCCCTAAGTAACAGTTCTGTGGCCCTCAGTAACAATTCTGTGTCCTCAGTAACAATTCTGTGTCCCTGAGTAACAATTCTGTGGCCCTCAGTAACAATTCTGTGGCCCTCAGTAACAATTCTGTGTCCCTGAGTAACAATTCTGTGTGCCCTAAGTAACAATTCTGTGGCCCTCAGTAACAATTCTGTGTCCCTGAGTAACAATTCTGTGTCTGTCCTGAGTAACAATTCTGTGGCCCTAAGTAACAATTCTGTGGCCCTCAGTAACAATTCTGTGTCCCTGAGTAACAATTCTGTGGCCCTAAGTAACGGTTCTGTGGCCCTCAGTAACAATTCTGTGTCCCTGAGTAACAATTCTGTGTCTGTCCTAGTAACAATTCTGTGGCCCTAAGTAACAGTTCTGTGTGTCCCTCAGTAACAATTCTGTGTCCCTAAGTAACAATTCTGTGGCCCCCTAAGTAAACGGTTCTGTGGCCCTCAGTAACAATTCTGTGTCCCTAAGTAACAATTCTGTGGCCCTAAGTAACGGTTCTGTGGCCCTCAGTAACAATTCTGTGTCCCTAAGTAACAATTCTGTGGCCCTAAGTAACG